CCGAGCCGGTCCCGGGCCGCAGATGGGGCAGCGGATCCCGGGATTCAAGGTGAGGGGTCGGGGGCTTTGGAAATGAGCACATATAGACGATCGGCGGGCTATGGAGCCGCTGATCGCCTAAATGTGAAACACCCGGTAACGGGTGTTTGCATTGGTCGGGTCTTTTCTGCCCGTGCGCGCCCCCGCCAGGGGGCGCGCACGAGCAGAAAAAAAATGCCGTCTGGCGACGGCAACCCGCCAATGCAGCAGTGCCGTCCGTCTGTTTTTTTACAACGGGCGGACGGCAAGTGGTTAAGGGAGAACTATGAGGTGAGTGAAAATCACTCAGCCTCATAGTTCGAGCCGACGTGTGACAATGAAACTGTCATACGTCGGCTCAATAGATCGGGAAGTGAGCAAACACATACCGTCGCTTGCTCACTTCTCGATCATGTCCCTGCAGAGAGCCGTAACTGTCACTCACGGCTCCCTGCAGGGATTCCCCCCTCCCCTGTCTGATCCTCCAGCGCTGACTGGCGGAACGGACAGGGGGTGGGGCTTGTACAGTTGGCTATGCCTCTAGACAGGCAGAGCCAGCTGTCAATCACGCAGCTGAGTGGATCTCGACAGTAATGTCAGGATCCGTCCCGGCTGGGGCGAACTCAGTATACGGCGAGCTGTAGCTCCTGGTATACTGAGCTTTGGGTGACGGGAGGATGCTAGTTTGTGTCCTACCGTGACCCTGGAGAGAACTATGGGGAAAAGCACTGACCCCATAGTTCTCCTTTAAGTCTACTCAATATTTTTTTTTCCTTTTAATTTGAACTTCAAAAGCCCTTAACAAACTGTTACCATTTTGGTACCTATGCTGGTAAAAGGTATGGCAAAACTATTTTTGAAAATGTTCAGAAGTCTCAAGAAGGCCTTTGGATAGTAACAGCTGAAAACTGTTATGGATCACTGGACCTCTTCCGGACAGTTGATGCAAAAATAAAACAGACACAATAGTAGGAAGACATTGTTATTACTTATTTATTGCTGAAATTTGTTTTTTTTTCTAAAATTCCCCTATAAAAAAAAACATTTGCATGCAAATATATATCCTACAGATTACAATTTAAACTAGATAAGACACGGTTAAGATCAATAAATAGTTAAAAAGAAAAATTAAGAAATCAAATTTGCACAGTTACATTACCTTGTCTCCAGATGGACCAGCAGGGCCAGGAGGACCAATGGGGCCAGCAGATCCCTAAATATAACAAAAATAAAAACTATTAATACTAGTATATTATTTGACTCTATTTGTCCCTAAATCTATCAGTACTAAGCTGCTACAGTGTACATTAAACCAAATATATCAATTATATTATTTTCTGGGGTTCTGCAGTCTACTATGTACATCTGTATCACAAAAAGGGAGACGCCTCAGCGAGTTCAAAGTGATTAACATTGCTTATGTGCTCTACCAATAATGCTATGAGTACGTAGATATTGTGGGTGGATTTGTTGTATTCTTTTATGCCTTACTGGCTTCACACCTATGCACTTTTTTTATTTGTTTTTTTTCATGCATTTTCCAGTGCACATTTTCATGCATCTACATGCATTTGTATCATGTGTTTTCTTGAATGATGTGCTCGGGATTTAGGAAGGTGTGAACAAAACACGCCATTTTTCAAATGTAGCTAGGCCAGGATCAAGGGTCGGTCTCAGTAATCATTCTTTTGCAACACATGGTACATGAGTTTTCATGCACTCCCATTAAGTGATATGGGCCCATGAATGCGCATTAAAAATGTACCCGAACTATTATCTATGACATGCCACAATTCATATATGCATATATGATCCATTGGAAACAATGGGATGTCAAGTAACATGCATTTTATGCATGAATGTACCCCACATTAAGCATTGGAGTGAACAGGGCCTGAAGGATACTAGAAAGCTCTTTATTTGTCTTGTTTCTGCATGTCTAACAAAAATATTCATAATTTCAAGTTTACTAGTTAGATATACTGCTATGGTGCATATGCTCTGGTGCTTATGAATGAAAAACATTTTAAACAATATTACCTCAGAGTTGGTTACAGACAAAGCAAAACTATTAAATATGTTATTTGGTTTGGTGCATATACAGGAAAGTGGTGTTTACGTACAATGATGATTTTAACATGATTGCAAAAGCACCACAGTCACTCTTCAATTATATATTCAAGGAAGATATTGTGAATAAAGTACCTGGACCAGATGGCTTGTACCCAGGAATTCCCCCCCCCCCCCCCATGCTGCTTTAAGGACTTACCTTAAATGATGCCTCTTGATTATCATCTTCTTTCCAGTCCCTCCAGCACTGGTACCGGTCTCTGATCCAGCGCTGTCTGCTGTGTCTTCTGTGTCTTCCACTGAGTCTGTGCGGGTGCACGCTGCCGGGTTGCCTGTATTGACTTACCCTATCCGAAGATCTCTACTGCGCATGCGCCTGCCCCATGATCCTTCACTGCTGCCTGAGAATCTTCAGAACTTTGGACGAGTGAGTGGCAGAGACACAGGTACGTTTTAACTTATTAAAAATGTTTTTACCAAATGCAAATATTAAAAATGTGGTAACTTTTTAAAAATGTTTTTATGTTTTTGCATACCTATACTGCTTGCTAGCAGTAGAGATATGCAAAAAAAATGAAGGTTAATTCTACTTTAAATCTTGAACACAGTTATTTCTAAGACATTTCTAAGTTACTCCTTAATTACTGCCTTGGTATCAATAGATTCATGAAAAGGCGAATGTGCTATGTATATTTAAAAAGGGATTCACTCAGTGATTACAGACCTTTGAGTTTAACTTCTGTTGTAGGAAAGATATTTCGGGGATTGGCAAAGGACCACATACAAATGTACATGATATAAAACAATATTATAAGTAATACCCAGCAATAGACAAAAACCTTAGTTTATGAATAGTTAAACAGAAATTTAGGCAAATTAGTAGTTGTGGATCTAGTATATTTTGACTTTGCTAAAGCTTTGTAAGAGAATGCAGTTCTTGTTAGATATCTTACAAGCTGACATGGATACACTGGTTGATTGGGCAACTGCATGGCAAATTAAGTTAAGTGTTGATAAACAAAGAACATTGTAAATCATATGTCATAAAATCTGGAGGTATCAAACTAGGTAATTCAGTAATGGAGAAGGATCTGTGTGTCTTGGTACATTATCCAATTACCAACAGCATGAATGCCAATTGTCAGCTTCTGGAGCAGACAAGAGAGAGAGAGACATTGGGGTTGATTTACTAAAGACAAATGGGCTGTTCACCTTGTGTGGCGATATGCATTTTACAAGGGAATTTTCCCTTAGCTTGGCCAGTGAATGTGGTGCAAAGAATACTCAAGCTTTACCTCATTTACTAAGCTAAGGGAAAATGTCCTTGCAAAGTGAACAGCCTATTTGCATTTGGTAAATTATCCCACTAATACTGGCCCTATAGAATGCATTAGCAAGAACTCATCTTGAACATGTAGTTTTGTTTTAAGTATCAGTTAACCGGCTGTGAAATTGGAAAGAGTTCAGAGGAGTTCAAATAAAATACATATGGCTACTAATATTTAAAAAGTAACATTTTGGAATATTGGGAGTATCTGATTGCCTTTGGGGATCACAAAGGAACTATTTCTCTGTTAGAGTAAATTGGGCCATGCTTCATAAGGGTGTTTTGGCTCTTGGATCAACTACAGGTTTAGGGTTCCAAGGATTGCAAGGTATTTATTTTTTTGGTTGTACTCAATGAACATGTGTCCTTTTTCAACCTGGCTTAGAATGCAAATATGTAAACACAGTAATACTCCATTCACACAGGAGCGGTTGTCTGCGCGTATTTGGCTACACGAATATGCGGGAACCGCTCTAAACATAAAAAACAATGCACTTTAATGTGCATTGTTCAGACTTTTGCGGTGGAGGTGTGGTGTGAAACCGAGCATCCTGCAAAATAGTACAAGCGTGAATTTCTGGGGGGATACCGCGTGTTTGCGGCTATAGTAATAGCCGCAAACGGCAGAATCCATGCAGTTGTAAAATCTTTAGTGTTTGCGTGCCATGCAGTCTTCCGCATGGAAAACCACATGGGAAATGTAAACGCTATATGTGAATGGAGCCTTAGTATTGTTTTAGCCACTTGCTGCCAATCAGAATCGTCCTTCCATTTTTATTTTTACATTTGCACTTACAATATTTTGAGAATGCAAAATGGGAGTATCTAACAATAAGTATTTTTTTAGAACGTTTTTCATTCACCAGGCCTTGCATCTTTAAATAAAGATAAGTACCGAAAACACAAAGGAAGAAGAGAGTACCACCTTTGTGCAATAAAATAAACAGATGAAATTAGTTCTATAATTAACATTTTTTAAATCTATTTAATAAATATTTTATGCACAAGGTTGGTGTGCTCTTCTTCCCTTGTGTTTGCTAGTCTAATGCTGATGTCTTTCTTTCTTTCTTTGCTAAGAGGAGCTGCAAGACTGACTGTATTCTTTCTCAACAATGTTGTTGCTACCTTCACATTTTTTAATGTATTTATTGCTTTGAAACTGTCACCATTATCAGGTGGTCTCATGGGTAGTTTCTTTTTTGAATGTGTACTTTGTCAATGACATCAAACTAAACATCCTTTACTTGTGTAGGACCCAAAGCACACACCTAAGCAGATATGGCACAATGTTTCCTATAAGCTAATGCATCATACTTAGCTACACAAACTTACTCTTAATCCATCTTTTCCAGGAAATCCATCTGAACCTTTCCCACCAGGTTCTCCCTAAAAACATAATATAATTTTATTAAATGAAGACAAAACATTTTGCATGCATTTGTACTTTGTGATAAACCAATACAGAAATTAAAGCTGGATACTGACCTTTTCACCTTTTGGCCCAGGATTTCCAAAACCTCCTCTTTCTCCAGGCATGCCTTGAAGACCAGGTGGTCCCATTCCACCAGCAGACCCAGGTGGTCCAGCAGGTCCCTGTGTGTATTCCAAATCAACGAGTTTAAAATGTGTTTTTTTTTAACATAAGCCAAATTGTCCCCCGGAGAAATCATTTTTTGGTAAAATGTTTCTTTTCATTTTAAAGAGCGTAACAAAATGGACTAAATGGGTGCTCCATTATTTTATACTGTATATAGAGCATACGGTTACTGTATGTGTTGGTTAAGTGCTGGTATTCTTACATTAGCAAATGAAAGCCCTCACTGCTGAATTGCCAATATCAACAGGATTAAAATGCATATAATTATTTTCCATACCCCATATATGCCATATACAGAAGTGGACTCAAATTGATCAGAAAGTACCTAAAGTACCCATCCCTGGTTATATAGCTAAACTATATCTGCTGCTATCAAGAGCAAACATCAGTAAACTAAAATGTGAAACTACCCATACCTAACATCCAAACATGATTTTACTCCACCTTGTAATTTTTTTGAAAGAACAGTAACTTTTTCTACATAGTTTTTTTTTGCTATTACCTTGCCACCATCTGGACCTGGAGGCCCAGAAGCACCTCTAGTACCAGGAGATCCAGGAGAACCTTGTAGACCTCTTTCGCCGGGAATGCCATTTTCCCCCTGTGAAGGAGAAAATTAATTATTTAACATTTATATTGCAGTGAAACATGTCACCTGTATACTTAAAACCCCACTCTGCACAAAATATGAGCCACCTCCCACCACAAGTTATACTCAACAAAAATTCTGCCTCCAGTTCCCCCACCGGCAATATTTTCTGGTGCAGGGCATTGCTAATTCAGCCCAAAAGATGGTCCCTTGCTGGCCGGTACTCTACCATTCCCTTGCAGTGATATCGCTCCTTTTCTGGATCCTGAGAGGACCCTTGCCACTGGACAGCAAATAGGAAGTGCCTCGCTTCAAACCCCAAAAAGCATAAAAACAAGTTTCTCATTTCTGGAGCATGTACTCATTTCCAAATTGGCAGCCTTTTTTTACAAATTAAAACTCAGTAACCCCCCAAAGCTCATATTCTACCTGTATCCAGGGCCGGATTTCCCACAAGGCCAAACAAGGCCTGGTCTTGGGGCAGCAGGGAGAAGAGGGGCAGCAGGGGTGTGGAACTCCTATCTCCCGATGCCCGGGACATGCAGTTCCGGGTGCTGGGCGGGTAGTTGTTTTCTACATTTAGCCCTGCTTTGGACAAGCAGAGCTAAATGTACAGCGGGGAAGCCGCCACTTGTTTTGTCAAGTGATCTTGGCGATGTTGACGAGATCACTTGTATGCAGCCTGCAGGTCTGCCATTCTCCATGGTGGGTGGTTTGGCGGGTAGGGGGGCGCATTGAATAACCTGGCCTTGGGGCAGCAGAGAGAGCAAATCTGGCCCTGCTTGTATCCCCTGGATATCCCTAAAATGCTACCAGTTGTCCTAGTACAATTGATAGAATAGGATTTAGGAATTGAATGCAATGAAAGCATCGACTGTGACTTTAGCATAAAGTGACAGCTAAGATAAATAAGCAATAGCAAGCTTCAGGTAAATAAAATATGCATTTCCATAGAAATGGCACTAACTACCAACTAACAGACATACAGCCTTAAAAAAGCTTAATTAGGATTCATGAATCTGGAACTTACTTTGCCACCTGAGGTTCCAGGAGCACCAACTTCGCCTTTAGGTCCCTATAAGTAACATTAGATATATTTATTATAAAGCCGTTTTTGCAAGATACACCAATACTTACATTCATTGAAATAAGTCTATAATGTAAACATATATCTAGCATAATAGGGAGGGGAAAGAGAAACTCACTGCTTCACCAGGTTTTCCATTCTCTCCAGCGGGTCCAGGAGCTCCTGGTAGACCCTGTCAGAATAATATATAATTAATGTAAAAAAATTCCAAAGAAATAGATTCACACTATCTTATAAACTATTGAAATCAATGACACGTGTAAACGCATTTTATAAAGTTTTCGGAATTCTGATTATTGTTTCCCACAAAAGTATTGTTGTCAACAAAAAAAACGATATATCTAAACAAAAACTATCCGAAATTTTATAAAAATATTTTTGCTGAAGTTAAACTTTCATTTTACATATATAATAGCAGAAGGATTAACGTTCAGCAGGAAAGGAAGTAGGAATCCATGTTTTTTTAGGAGGAACTGGGACCTCTAGTGTACTGATTGCTCAATTGAGACCCATCCAGATATCAGATGCCTGATTCAAAATATCAGTACTGGCTGGATGGCCTGACTTTTTAATGTCAATTAAACTGACTTTCATTGTTCTAATGGGGAATTTATATTAACATATTGTTTGTGCTTTATATAAAAAGAGAATTTGTTTTACATACTAGTCTGACTAGATCTTATTCACACCATGCCTTTAAAGCCTTAAGCTAATCGAATATTAATTATAAGTTTACGAAATAACAATATCACTGAGATATATACCTATTTGTGTGTTAAAAAAATATAAATATTACTTAAAAGCCTGGGACAGTTGGCACCTGTAGAATTATTTGATTTTCTAAGCAGGTAGAAAAGATCTGGCTATTACCTGAAATCCACCAGGTCCAGTTGCTCCTGGTTCTCCTCGCTCACCTGGAGGTCCCTACAAAAGACAAACTGCATATCAGCAATAGCAAACATATATTGAGTAATCATTTAAAACCAGTTAATAATTTGTTATTTTCCAATTAATTGATTACAAAATATTTTAATGTATTTCCTACAATGTCATTTCTAGTTTCAATATTAATGTCCATTGACTTTCTGTCCAGAATATTTATTAAGCAGAATTTAATGAAACACTCTTTATTTTCAAAACAACATACAGTAACATTTTAGACCAAGGTCAAAGTACTGATGCAAGTTACAGCCCTTCTAAACTTCAAACTTAAATTCCTGTAAACCTAAAAATATCCTGTACTTCTTATTTCTGAATACCAAAGGATATCTTGCCTGTTCACCCTTTGAAAAAAAAATTGATTGCAGAAACACCATGATACCCTTGTCAACTATATATTACACACACAATACAGTACATAGTATTTTCTTATTTCAGGAAGGCTTAATTGAAATGTAAGTACAATGTGTGTAATGTTATTTTACCCTTTTATGAAAAAGATTAGGTGGTATTTTAAGCTGTTTGCAATTGACTTTTCAAATTGACTGTACTTTAGAAATGCATGTAAAAGTGTTCCTTCATGTTTAATATATTAATCACAGTACTTACTGCAGCACCTGGAGGGCCCTGACCTCCTGACTCGCCACTCTTTCCAGGAAGACCCTGATAAATACAAAAGGCATATTAGATTATATGAATAAGAACACTGGGAATAACATTATTAAAAACTGCACCACATTTACCTGTGGTCCAGAAGATCCAGGAGCACCCCTATCTCCATTTTTACCAGGTTGGCCCTGAAATAAAACACACATGGTTACAATAGAAGTGATTTATATCGTTATGGCCAATACTGGCAGATTAAAGGACCCTAATGGGTAGAATAGCCCACTAACATTTGAAATATGTCAGAGAATCCAGTTGCAAGATTTTGTGCTCCCCCTCTATAAGGCCAAAGAGTTAGTCCTCTATAACTATGTTTACAAGTTGTATTGTTTATTCCACTTTCTAACCACCATGGTGGCTGGGAAAAACTGGAAATTCTAATGGTGATACCTTGCCAATAGAGATTCCAAGGCAAATAGATAGAGGGTTATTCACTAAGCTGCTGAAGACAGCCGAGTGTATAACTGAGCCGAAGTGAACGGAGCTGAACGGCGTTCGGCTACTCACTTCGGCCCCGTACGCCTGATTTCAGCCATACATTGGCTGCCTTTGGATGGCTTCGGTCAGCCGAACATGCTCTGCATGTTCGGCTGAGCTGGAGTGCAGAAGGCGTTCGGCACAGCCGTTCCAACATCTAAGTCGGCTTGGCCGAAGCTCCAGCAGTTCACTCACTGCCGTTCATCCCTATTCTCATAGGGGCCCCGTACGCCTGATTTCAGCCATACATTGGCTGCCTTCGGATGGCTTTGGTCAGCCGAACATCCTCTGCATGTTCGGCTGTACGGAAGTCACAGCCGTTCCAACATCTAAGTCAGCTTGGCCAAAGCTCCAGCAGTTCACTCACTGCCGTTCACCCCTATTCTCATAGGGGCCGAACAGCAGTGAGTGAATAGCCGAATGCCGCCAAGCAGCATTTGGCTTGGCTATTCTACCTCTGAGGTAGCGACCAGAATAGAAAACATTTAAGTAAAAATAAATATTTAATTTTTTTTTTTTTTTTTAAATGTTAAGGAAATAATTAAAAGAAGTAAACCATACCATACTAGACCATAACAGACCCTTTAGGTCTGGTAGGAGTGTTAGGAGGGACCCCTATTAAAAAAAATGCGTGGGGTTCACCCCAAAAGTTATACCAGGCCCTTTAGTTCTTATTAATTGTCATTTGCATGGAGAACAGTCCACTTTGGCCGACCTTTCTCCCCGCTTCGGCTGTCACTACAGCTCAGCCGAGCCAAAGCATGTGTGTTTGGCTTGGCTGAGCCACTCGGCTGCTGTACAGGCTATTGCGAATAGCCCATACAGCAGCCCATCAGTTTGACTGAACCGAAGGGCTCTGGAGGCTGAAGCGATCTGAAGGATCAGCCGAAGCTTCAGCAGGTAAGTGATTAACCCTCATATTGATTCAACTTGGTAGCAGCAATGCAAACTGGAAATATTAGTTTTGAGTTAAGTGTTTCTGTATTTATGACATGCATGTATTTGCGTGAATCTTAGAAAGCACTAACCTCAGTACCCTTTGGACCTGGAAAACCCATGACGCCAGGTGAACCTCTTGGCCCTGATGGACCAGGGTTGCCAGATCGTCCAGATTCTCCAGCAGGACCCTTACATAGAAGATTGAATATTTTAAATGGTGAATATACATAACAATATTATTTCAAAACAGACAAAAAATATAACACGTGTTAATGTTGCACAACACTAGTTACACACTGTGACCATTAGCAATCCAAAAAATCAGACAAAATAATCAAACACTGCCAATTTTTATAAAATTAAAGAACAGAAGATACATCAATATATAAAACAGTAATCTACTGTTTTTTTCCATAAATTTATTATTGAACAACATTAGTTATCAATTCATTAGTTTTTCTGTATTTACTATAACTGATAACTTTTTGTAACATATTATATTCTTCAATTAGGCCTTTTTTTGGCTTAACTGATGTTATACTGTTTGAACAATTACCTGGGGTCCTGGTTTGCCATCAGATCCAGGACCACCCGGACTTCCAGTAGAACCCTACGGTGTAGAAGAAGACAATAGTTAGTATTCAATAGAGGCAATTAAACAAATGTGATTGTGCCATCCCCTACAGTATTACAGTAATGTCCATTACATTCAAATAATGATTACCAGGAACCAAACCATAGAAACAAATCTCCATAACAAGCATAAATATAATTGATAATTTAATTGATAAGCATTCAGGCATGGAAGCCATGCTTGAAAAATGAAAATATTTTTATGTCTATAACTACTTTATATCAGAAAAGGCCTTCAAAGAAAAAGTGCCTGCTATCAGCACTGTTACACATACAATCCTGCTGTGTGTGCCCCTCTAAAACTAGTTTCACTTTGTTATTAGGGGCTCGATGTTCCTAATTTCAGGATAAATGCCTGCAAACTGCCATCCCCTTGTCCAATGAGAGTGCTGTTTTCATCCACTATAGCACTCTAACTGAACAAGGTGAAACAACTTAGGGTTGTCAAAGAATTGAAGTACATAGTATCAAAGTGAAAATAGTTTTAACAGGGTACACAAAGTATAACAATGGTAATAGCAGCACTTACCCTGATAACAAAGGTAATACAGTACTTACGTGTTCCCTCATGTTAAATCATCATAAATCTATTAGCCTTTCTCACTGTCAAAATCAAATAGTGACATTTAAATCAAAAAGTATTTTAATCGCCCCTTTAAAACACCTCAACCTTCATAAAGCATGGATATAGTCACATGAGCCAACATTTTAAAAAGCTTCTATTTTCTTACAATTTGAGTTACATTAGGAGTGTTCTTGAAGATCTGGGTGGTAGGTCAGCAAACAACCAAGAAGTACACATTGACTTTCAACTAACATAACAGATTTACAGATAGATTTGACGGATAGATGTGACATTAACAGCTGTCCATAATAACCATACAGATTTACAGACAGTGTCAAATGTACAATATACAGCTTCCAGTTAGGTGAATTTCTAAGCTTTTAGCCTATGAAGTAACAGGAGGGATATCTGCATAAGTATTAACCACCATTTGTGTTTATGTTATTTCCCAATATACACAGCCTTTGTATGCTAGACCAGCATAAACCAACAAATATATTTCATTTTACAAATCGACTCAAGCATTAAATTAAATGATGATTTTTTTTAAATACATAATGTAGGAAAAGGAACTTTGATATTTACCCTCATTCCTGGTGGTCCAGGGATTCCATCTCTTCCGGATTCACCAGGACTTCCCCTTGGACCAGCGGTGCCTGGTTGTCCACGTTCTCCAGCAGGTCCCTAATTTATAAACATATAGTTATCATGGCTTCAAACACTATAACATAATTTCATAATTAATAGAGTAGACTTAGAAGGATCAACTTAAATACCTTTTCACCTGGGGCTCCATTGCTACCTGCGGGACCCCGGTAGCCTGGTGTACCCTATAATGTCACAAAAAAATTGTAAATTGGACATCAGTTTCTAATGTTCACATATTCATCAAATAAGCTCCTTTTAGTATATTCTAAGCTTATGAGTTTTGTGCCCCTTCAAGAGATTTTTTTAATTTGACATAATGTGCATATGTGTGCTTTTATGTGTATGATTGTCTTCTGCTATAACATTACAGTGTTACACTATGTGAATTTAAAACCTTTATTTCACAGTTTCTGAATGAATTCATGTTGATGTTAAACTATGTAAATACTTTGCGCTAATATATAAACCCTGCAGCAAGCACTAAACTGGTGTATAACTAACTTCAAAAACCTCCTAATACTTCTGTGCTGTGCAGCACAAAAGTAGTAGGAAAATAAGATAGCTTGGAAAGCTGTTCATTATTGTTTGTGATTTCAGTTCAGCACAAAGTAAGTTGCAGAGATACTGGACTTCTATCAGGATCAACACGTATGCTTCTATACTTGCAGAATATGTACTTAGCCTGGAAAAACAAATTCATCTACGAAATCTAAGAACTGGTAAAATGTAATATATTATTTTTCGTTTATATATTTTAAGGGGAGTATTTATAGAATATTTGTAGACCCATTCGTCCTGTGCAACTGCATGTACATTTGTTCTGCGTGAATGGAAGCAAAATACATTATTAGTATATTTTCTTTTCAAGTCGAATGCAATATTAGGAAATTATTGCATTGTGGCCATATAAGGAAAAAAATAGGGATGCACCAATATATCAGCCACCACAACATATCAGCCGAAACTGGCACTTTTGGCAAAATGCAGATAGTACCATTTTCTGGCCGAAATAGCGGTGCATCCGTTCTTTCTCTCCTCCCAGCTGGGTGCTGCTCTGTGTCCCAGTGGGGAGGAGAGAAACTGTCACAGGCGGCCTAGCACTGTGAGTAGCTGGCATATCTCCAACCCGCACCGCTCAGCCTCCTGTCACAGATCAGGAGAGCGGTGTGGGCGGAGACAGCTTGCAGTGCTGTCACAGGAGGCTAAGCTCCGCTCGCTTAGCCTCCAGTGACAGTGTGTCAGGAAGCAGAGCGAATTACAAACACTCAGCGATCAGTGATCGCTGAGTATTTGTAAATAATTTAGGACATAGTATGTTTACTATATCCTCAATTATGAATGAATGGGAAGTGATCTACATCACCTCCTGTTCATTCATAATTGTGGATATAGTAAACATACTATGTCCTCAAGTTATGAATGAACAGGAAGACTCAGTACAGAGGATTCCTGTTCATTTATAACAGGGGCTGCAGAAGAAGAGATTGAGGACTTTGTGTCCTTAATCTCTTTTTCTATTTTAAAAGGGAAATATCAGTGGTTTAGACCCCCAATATTGCCCCAAAGCCCCTAAAGGTAAAGTAAAAAAAACAAAATATTTAATAAAAATGAATAAATAAATAAAAAATTTAATATAAGTAAATTAAAAAGTTTATAAAAAATAAATAAAAAGAAAATATGAAAGAAACATTTAAAAGGTTAGAATAAAAAACAATTTCGTTTTCGGTGTCGGCCTTTGTTTTCGTTTTGGTTTTGTTTAGATTTTGAAATTTTCATTTCGTGCACCTCTAGAAATAAGTATTTATTTCCTATGGATCTGCAATTTTTTTAAAAAATATATCCCTATGTTTACTTTCAAGACATACAGGCCTGACCAGGCCGTGTTATACCTGAAACCATACTGTAGCCTTTTAAAGTTTAGGACCTGCAAAGGGTACTTCTCTCAACTAATGTTTAAAATCTATATGTTGTATTTGTAAATATAATAAAATATGAAACTACTCAGATCTTAATGAGTAAATATATAGTGTACAATAACATCTATTGAAATTTGTTGGATACAACTTACTCTTTCTCCTGGTGTTCCTGGTACACCATTAGTGCCTGGTTCACCATTAGTTCCCTTTTTGCCTTCTTCTCCAGCAGGTCCAGGTGCACCTGGAGCACCAGATTCCCCCTATACCCCCCAAAAAACAAATTCAATTAGAAACAAAAACGTTATGGTAGAGAGAAAGCAGGAGTTGCAAACTCATACTTACACGTTCTCCTCTTTGACCAGGCTCTCCTTTCCCACCATCTTTGCCGCTTTCTCCCTAAAACAATGAACAGACACACAAATGTTGTTCTAGAACTTAAATTACATAAGTATTTATATTAATATAGATTCTTTCTCTTTGACAGTTGTCACTCAAACAGGTGTCCTAACTTGATTTCCCCTCACCTCCTGCTCTACTTAGAACTGTAAAATTTTGGATTTCCCCTCACTTCAGTCTCAGTGATAATGGTCACCGGAAAAAATAGAGGATTAATCTACCCGTTCAGCACACAGACATCAATAAAATCTCAAAACATGTGCAAACATCACAAGTGCCAGATCAATTGTGAAATAGTCAAAAGTGATTTATTTGTTCATAAAATGATCATACAACAATGATACATCAATGAAAAACTCAATGATATTTGCAAATGTTTGAATGGACTCAGAGAAGCACATGCCAGAAAATCTTGAGCTTGCTGGTTGAAAGATAATTGGATGGGGCAGAACTATGCCAATAAAACAGCTACAACAAACGGTTGGTTTATGAGCATATTCATCTTATGAGCATAATTTCCCAATAAAAGTGTAGTCAACTTGGTCAACAATTGTACAATTTAATTATGTAAATTTAGTAATTAAACAACTTTAGTAAGTAGGTAGATTTGGTGCACTAAATGTACAATTGCAGAGTACCTATGGGCTTTTTGAAAAGCAAAATTAAAAGAAAAAAGCCACAAATCTATTTTGTAAACACTTTCTATAATATAGATGTTAGTCATTATGTATTCACTATCAGCATTACTTACCGAAGGACCTCTTAAGCCAGGTGCTCCATTAGTACCAGGGGGACCTGGAGCACCACGAGCACCACCCAAACCAGGAGCACCAGCCATACCGGCAGGACCCTTTAAATAAAAAGTCAAACAATTACATCTTAAAAGGTCTATTACTTTATATTATAGGGTCTTGTATCAAAACTATGAAAGAATCGTCTTGCTCCCTACCATTCATCTTAAGGGCCCAATCACCATAACGAATTGCAGTAATATGCATGGTGGTACACCTTGAATTCATTTTAAATGGCACCACAATTCACCCCCAGAATGCAGCTGAATTGCAACCCACTGCAGTGCGCTACAACATACAAACTGTATTGCTGTGCAGCAATATCTACATATGAGCATGTTGTGGCATATTACAACCCATTCATTTTGAATGGGCTGTCTGACGTAACGTGCCTCAATGCAATTACCACTATGCATGTTACATATAGTTACATAGTTAAACAGTTAGATTGAAAAATGACACCAATAGAGATAAGAGAAAAAAAAAAGAAAAAAAACCTAAAACAGAACGGCTATGCCCACAGTTACCCTATAATGTGATTTTCATTACAATGGTTAACCCACTGGGGTTATTTATAATGCAATTATAATGTTCACATAGCCCAGTGAAGCTGTTGTTCATTTCTATCATTCAATCATGTGTAAGATTTTTGAATAATACACACAAAAAATTTATGAAATAATCCTAATGTATAAAATGTACAACTGAAATGTTTTCCGGATTAACAAAATACAATAAGTGCTGCTAAATTCTCTTCTTTCTTGCAATTTTTTAAGTGGCAAGAATATCTTGAAAGTTAACTAATCAAACACCTTAAATGTAAGTAGAGCATTATACTAACAGCTTTTAAATAATATTGAAATTAATCTTCCTATGGATTTTAGTACAAATAATAAACAAAATTGATGTAATCTTTGAGTGGTATAGAGCCCTGTCCACTATATTGTTCAGACTATAGTATTGACAGGCAGCCATCCCTAAAGATGGCATTGATTTTTGCTAAGGATATAATGACACTTACAATTTCACCTTTACCGCCAGGATTTCCATCTCTGCCAGGAGGACCCTAAAATAGTTTTAAATAAATACATTATTATATATTACTTTCGTTTCATTTAAAATAATAAACTAAACTACATGAATGTATTTAATTCAAAGTTGCTTACAGAAGGGCCTGTTAAACCCGCGGGGCCTTGAGGGCCTGATTCGCCTCTAGATCCTGGAGAACCATCAGAACCACGAGACCCAGGAGATCCAGCTTCACCCTGCAAGATGATACAAAGGTAAGTTGTAGTTACGAATTATGATCATTCTGGGGCTAAAAAAGAGCCCGGACATGTAAAGCACATTGGACCATTTCTGTATGACAAAACATTTTAATCCCTGGTAATCCAGTACTGTTAATGTACTGCCACTACAGCACTGTAAAATGTTGAAAGGATTAAATGACACAGGTGTAGTGTATGCTACAGGTGATGCATTTAAACTGGCTGACCAACAACCCACATGAACTCATAACATCTGCACATAAGGGCTCACAAGTAACACCACCCTTTCTAGCAAAGGCACAAGTTACAGAATGACAACCCACATCTGAGACAAAACAGAGCTATCAAACTTTTACATTTTATTTCTCTTTATTTGTTTTTTTACGCATTTAACTATTGTAAACCATTTCTACCATTCTAATCTTGATTTTCATGAATTTCACCTTTTTTCACAGCATTTCAAGAAACATACAAGGAAATCTAAACTCTAATTCCTAAAGAAAAATGAAAGAGAAGGTGCATAGAAATATTGAAAAACCGAAATGAACTTTCAGTTTAAACAGCTGATTGCATTCCAGGTTCATTAAAACAAAATGTGCAAAGTCTAAAGGTGCCCATACAACTTACGATTATCAGACGAAACTTTTCATCCGATGATCGAATAGTCGTACGATTTCCGTACGGCAGCCCCATCCTGCCCCGATGATCGCAAGATTCATTTAGCCGTAATTAACTAAAAGCACCTGGACGAAATGCGGTAAATGATTTGTCGTATTTTCATTAGCGCAAGCGCAGTGTAGATCGTACGACTTTTGACGATTGTGAAAATTGTACGATCTAGCAAAGTTTTCAAACATGCTTGACCGTCAAAAGTCATACGATTGTACAGTAATGTCGGTCGGACACTGCAATGCACACATATGATTATTGGACGAAAAGTCGATCGAATACGAAAATCGTACGATAATCATAAGGCGTATGGGCACCTTTACAGTTTGTTTTCTTTAGAAATCAGCCAAAAAAAAAGAAATCAGCCACAGCCTGAATAGAAAGCTCTTTCCCCTGTCAGCATGATGTAGAGAAGGAACCTTGTTCTCTGTTTGAAAGAACAGGCCTCTCTGCAGAGGTCCCACATACACTGTGCTGAGTCAAAGCTATAGCTCTCCAATTAGCATGGAGTATAAGCTTTGCTGGTTGCAGAGCTATAGATCTGATGAAACAGATGGCATATCGGACCTCTGCAGAGACACCACTACTTCCACACAAAAAGCAATGGCCCCACTCTGCAGCATGCCGACAGAAGACTTCTCTACTCACACTGTGGCTGGTTTAAGAAAATTACTGTAAGACTTTGCTCACCTTTTGTTTTAATGCACTTGCAATGTATTTAGTTGATTTACACTAAAAATTAAAGTAGGCTTTAAACGATAACGATAATACTATAAACGGTAAGTCACTCACTAAAGACCATTAATCTGATATTTAAATAGTAGGCAGCAGTAAAACTGTTTGGTTCGCTCTTAGGATTTGGATTTGTGTATTTTTTCAGTCAACAAAAAACAACCCCTATGCTTAGAGATTCATTTTATTTGACTGTTAGTCAAACAGATGGTAAAACATCATACTTTATATATTCTCAGCCACTCAAAAGCTGAGGTAAATAAAGTAAATGATGGACAAACAACTACGTACACAGTTAAAATACATTTTTAGTGTTTTAATTGCCCCATGGTTTGTTATTCTGTACAGCCAGCCTTGTGATCCTATCGCCTTGCCACACTGCAGAGCCAGGCAACACATTTATTTTGTGGTTCAGAAATTCAGCTTCTTTTGTTAGCCTTCTATCAATAAGAAGATCTGACTGAGTAAATAGCAAAGCTGACCCAAGAAACATAAGTAGGAGAGCAGAGGTTTGTGTATAACAAGAATGGCTGGTCAAAATCACAAATTCTTTGGTAAGAAAAATGGTAAATCTATATGTATTTAAACTGAGCCAGCAATCCGGGACCAATGATGATGTCTGACCCACAAAGCATCATTGGCTGCTAGGATGCTAGTGGCTAGGCTGTCCAGCGTCATTGGGTGCTGGGATTCAGACAGGCGCACCATAACAACCAATGATGCTGTGGGACTACCAGCATTCCAGCTGGTGATGGTGTGCAGCCCACACAGAGTCATTAGTTGCTAAATTGCTGGTGGCCCCATTGTTGTTACCTGCTCAGCCACCAGTCAACCAATGATGCTATGTGGGCTGCGTAGCATCTTTAGTTGCTAGTGCACAGACAGAGGTTCAGCAGGTGGTCAAACTAGCCAATCTTTCGCACATTTGGCAAACTGTAAACAGCTTGGGTTAGTGTTGAATTCATGGGTCGACCCCAATCCAAAGCTCATCCCTATTTTAGAACCAATTAGTATCTAAGATGTGACAGGAGAACTTAAAGCAAGTTTCTCAGTACTCTTCTCATTTGAGGCTGCTAAAAGAAGAATTGATTTGATCCTTTAAAAAATAAATCCAGGCAGAATTGTTCTTAACTCTTGCATTGGAGCTACCCCAGCACTGCAAGGGTTAAGTGCCAGTTTTTGCCTAGGGACGAAAATAGAAAAATTATAATCAATTGAACCTAGCAGGTTCGTCCTAGACCAGTCCCTGCAGCCTGCCCCCTTTTCCGCTGCAGCGTTGGGTTAAGTTTTTTTTAATATTCAAAAATATATATAACTACTAAGTCTGTGTTTTTTTTCTTGTTCATCAGATGCCTTTTTGGTGACAGTTACCTTGGGACCTGCACCACCAGGGAATCCAGCATTACCAGGGGGGCCAGGAGGACCCTGTTGGGAAGAAAATATGCTTAATATGATACTAATGAACAGTATTAAAATGACAATACAATAAATAATAAAACAACACAAACATAAAATAATATAAAATAATCTTACAGGTTGGCCAGAAGATCCAGGAGCTCCGTCATTACCACGTGCACCCTTAAAGACACAAAAAATAGCAAGAAATGTAAATTACTTAGGCGTCTTATCTCAACTTCTAATGCAATGCAGAAACAACATTTTTACAATATTTATTATTACTTTTAAACTTATAGAAGTCTTTTCATTAGCTTTACCTGTTTGTGCACCCCATGCTTAAAGGAGAACTATGAGGTGAGTGATTTTCACTGAACCTCATAGTTCGAGCCGACGTGTGACAATGAAACTGTCACACGTTGGTTCAATAGATCGGGAAGTGACCGAACACATACTGTCGCTCACTCACTTCTCGATCATGTCCCTGCAGAGAGCCGTGACTGTCACTCACGGCTCCCTGCAGGGATTCCCCCCCTCCCCGCTCCGATCCTCCAGCGCTGACTGTCGGAACGGATGGGGGAGGGGGCGGGTATAGCTGGCTCTGCCTCTAGATAGGCAGAGCCAGCTGTCAAACACGCAGCTGGATGGATCTCGACAGTAATGTCGGGATCTGTCCCGGCTGCGGCGGTCTCACTATACACTATGTAGCTCGCGGTATACAGAGCTTTGGGTCACGGGAGGATGCCAGTTTGTGTCCTCCCGTGACCCTTAGGAGAACGATGGGGATAAACACTTACCCCATAGTTCTCCTTTAATGCTCTCATGATGTTGATTTATGCTAAGACAGCATTTACATGTCAGTTTATTCAGCTTTGCTAATGAGTTATCAGAACATTGACTATACTTGAACAGATGTATAAATTAATGTATATCACTTAATGTTATTTTTTTCTTTGAAATGTTCTATTTTCTTCATGATTTTTCAGTAGGAAGTTATGTTGTAATTTGCTATGTATTCTACTTTAAATGTTTTATTTTATTTTTTTTAGCTCTGAGTATGGCCAAATATGTTACAATAAATTTCCAACACCAAACTATGACTTTTTGACAGTCCTTTATTTTGGATTTCATTTCCCACAAGGTCTAGGTACTGCTGATTAAGAACCTAACTAGTACAATTCCCCCATCCATACCCTTGTCACGCCTGTGATAACTTAAACAAGGCATTTCAGGCAATGTATTTATGTCAGTGACCCAAGTAAGTTATCCATGCATTTACAGAGAGTCCACTGAAGGGCACATGGCCCAAAAATATTGTATCATGCACCCTTCCGTGCATTTTTAGTACATATATATATATATCTTATAATATTGTACTGGCAAGATATTTTCTAAACTGTTAAATATATGGCAAACATGAGTGCTCTGTAGAGCGGAATTCACTGTGGCAATGATATTACATACTTTTGGATACTATTGGATACTGTGGCAACCATTACATACTTTTGGATACTATTTATTTTAGACCAATTTAATAAATAGGCATATTAGGGGAAGTGGTAAAAACACCGAGAAGTGTGTATATTTTTCCTGTGAACATGCCATTCACATTCTTCATTGGCTGAATGATATATGTGGGTTTTGCTTGTATAAATGCATTTGTAACTGTTGTGCACCAAAGATGTCTTGTACTGATATTCTGTGAAGCATTATATGGGATTTCTGGATATAATATGCTGAGAAAGAGGTACGGAAATGCTCAAGAAAGAAAACATTGTGCAAAACAAATACAGATTTCATTTTGCTTTGTGTATTCAAAGTAATACTCTAGCAAAAATCGTGTAGTATGTACAGTGTACTACACTCGGATGTTGTGAAAAGATCCTCTTCTAAGTTATAGTTATTATCTTTCTTCCCCCCAGCAAGTTTAAACCTTTCTCTGTTCCCTAACCAGGAAGTTTGAACCTTTCCCTGTTGTATGAAAAAAATGGCTGGAGTTCTAATTTAAAAGGTCTACTAGAGCTACTTCCTAAATTACTCCCAAAACTTAATCACCACAAAAGGCCCTTACTAATAAAAAGAAGCAAAGACAAGCTCACTCCTTGTATTAAGATGCCCAAATTATTTAACAATTTAGTTATGTTTAACTAATTGCTACAATCTATTTCAACCAAAGGTAACTTACAGCTGTTCCAGGAGATCCAGAACGACCTCTTTCACCAGGTTGACCTCTTGGACCCTAGAAAGGAATGAAACAATATTTAAGTGCATGATGTTTATAATATTCCTACTTCATTTATCTTCATTCATCTGCTATTAACATACGTGAACTCAAATAAAATACTAAACAAAGAAACTGGCCACACCTTAATGATATCGACCTTCACCAAACTTTATTGCTCCAGGATAAGATCACAGGAGGTCTGCACACCAAGCCTTACTGTGACATGTTTCACACGGAAAGGGCTAATTATAGAGATTGGCCATTTTCTTTGTTTGTTTTACATGAGAAGGAATTATGAGCTCCATCGCCCAACACCTGTAGCCATTGAGACAAGTGGACTGTGGACTTATGTTTGGCAGCTTCCTTTGGTATTGTACACAGTAATTAATGCTATCATAATTTTGCATATAGAATAATTTTAATAACCAAAATCTTGGTATATTTATTCATATTAAATGTGATTAAATATTAATATCGAATGTGTAGTGTGATGTTTTAGTCTTTATTGCTTGCTGAAAGTTGATCTGCATGTTTTTGCCATTATTTGTCATTCAATAGGCGTGTACACCCTATGCTGTATGGCAGGTCACATTTTTTTGTTACATATATGTAACAAAAAAAATCCTTTAAAATGTGCCAAGTCTAAACTGAACTTGAATATCTTGATTATCTTAAATATAACTTGAAATCTTGAATATTTTTATTAATAGAAATAACAAAATGACTTACTGCACTGCCAGGTAATCCATTGTCACCAGGAGCACCAGGTTCTCCCTAAAAGAGAAAATACATTCAATGACAGTGAAATTATATTTTTTTTCTGATTTAATTCTGTATACATAATTCTGTCCAACAATCTATTAGAATGAGAATTTTGTCCTGTGGTTTGTACTGTAAAGTAGGGAGGAGGTTTCTACCATGGGTTTGAAGCAAATCCAGTGGGTTCAAGATTCATGATTCTAGCAAATGTTTGTGTAGTTTGGCCCTGGAGAATTGTTTCATAATGCACTGAACGGCAGCCAGAAGACTTAGAAGGACCAATAGGCGTCTTTTTGTATAAGTCAACCCTCATTATAAAAGGAGGTGGGCACATTTCAATGTATTGAAAGCTGGTGTAGGGAAAGGTTTCTGAAGCTGACAAACTGGGAAGAGATTAGGGTCAGATAGAAAACTGTAATTCTAATTGTTAGCTCTTTAGGCAATCAATCTCTTAATTCTTTTGTTTTTTTAATGTATTTAATTGTATTTTGTGGTTAATTTGAGGTCAGGTCAGGTTGCTTTTAGCTGCTGTCCTCTTTATAGTAAACTTTTTTTTTTATTATTAACAGTAAGCCATCTTTTTAAAAAGAAAATTACTTTTGTTTCAGGTGTGTTATTTTGGTGTTTTCATCAAAAAATGGGCTTTTTGTTTTTAATTTATTTTGGGGAGTATATTGGTTTTTATAGTATGTTGATATGGTTTTTTTTAGGCTAAACCAGTGTTTGTCAAACTTTTTCCATTCACGGCATTATTTAAAAGTATGAAAAATATCAAGCCTAAAATGTAAAAAACGTAAATGTGAAAAAATGACTTGCGTGATCCCTCCAAATTACATACCAGACCCTTTTCGACGATAGAGGCATGGCATGAATTTTAAGGGGGACCCCGTGCAAAAAGTGCCACCCTCCTTCTTTCATATCAGAACTCTCTTTCACAACGGAAAGGCCTGATGCTGTGCAAACTTTTTAAAGGGCACCCCTGAGGAGACCAGAAGGCACCCTGGTTGAGAAAGGCTGGGTTAAACTGTTTCAGGGGTGGTATTTTGGGATTTTTACTCATTTTTTTATTTGCATTTTATGTTAATAGGCCTTTTTCAAGTTTAGGAAGCTCAGTAAGATGCAGCATAATTTGAAAGAAAGAATAAGTGCAAGAACAGTATGCACCTAAACCACCTCACATTAAATCACTCACATTCACTGAACTCCTCCCCTATCCCTATTGATAAAATAAAAGCCAGGCATACACTGGTTAGGCCTATTATCCCTGAAATACATGTCCTAGTGCTGGCAAATTTTACACTACTGCATTCTCTGCAGTATCCTAATTCTTGTATTAAAGTCTCAGCTTATATTCTTTTGGGTTGATTTGCTAAATGCAAATAGGCTGTTTACTTTGGAAGGGAGTTTTCCTTTAGCTTTGTGAAACTCTGCTGACTTCTATCATCCAAAAATATGCAAGCAAAAATCCTTTTTTTTTAAAATTCTTCTTGCATTTGATTGGGTATTCTTTGCAAAGTGAATTTATCCCCTATTCACAGCAGTTTTATACTGATGTGTCATCTCTGGTCTTTTAATTCTTGTAGTAAAACACCTGCATGTACTTTTTCTCTAGTACATTTCGGCCATTTCTTGTGCCTAAAAGTCAAATTTCAGTGAGTTACTAACAGCTTAAAACACCCACTGTGTTTTTATATTAGAGGGAAAATATAGCTGTGAGTTTAGGACCTCTGTTGTGCACTTTGAAGATTAATTTCTCCACAAAGCCTGAGGCAACAGAGGTCGGTGAGGACCTATTTTAAAGTGCTTTTAGTGATTGTTCATCATTTTTATATATATACACATATGTGTATCTTACAGATAATTTCTTAATGCATGTGCGTTTTTGTAATTCATATTATCTCTATTTGGTTTGTGTTGATTGATTTTGGCTGCACTGCTATATATGCTACAATATAGAATTAGAGATCTTGTCCGCATTTTCCGTTGTCGTCAACATGGCAGTTCTTCACTGCAACACTGCAAGCAAATGTTGTGGTGGTGCTTATGGCATGCTTTTATTTCTGTAGGTAGAATAGTTATACTAATTTTTCTTTTTAGAAGTGGCAGTGGAAATCAGTGGAGAAGGGAATGTGGGGACACCAGAATAATGCCTTGTTTAGGAATACTATTGTTAAAGTTGGAACTGTATCAGTTTTACTATATTCTGTAATTTCAATCTGACGTAGATAATAAACATTTATTTACCCTAGCTCCAGCAGAACCTGTATCTCCCTTTGTGCCATCTCTTCCATCAATGCCCTGTAAATGGAAGAAGAATAATGCAACTCATACTATATTAGACCACATTACTATTACAAAGCATTTAAAAAGAAGAATAAAACAAAGACTTAATGTATAAATGTTTTTGCACTATGCCGTGGTTAATGCAGACACTTACTCTGTGGCCTTTCATACCAGGGAAACCAGACATGCCAGGTGGTCCTCTATTGCCCTGTAAAATAACAATAAGAAATTAAAGCTGTAATTCATCTACCTGCACATTATAAGGGTACTGGGTTCAGCTTCTGCTATAGAATGACAACAATCTATAAATATATATATATATTATATAATATAATATTCACTTACAGGAGCACCAGCCACTCCACGCTCTCCAGGTCTGCCTGGCCGGCCTGACTCACCCTAAAATAATAAAACAGACATTTATTTAATGCTGAAGTGATATATTGTGTTGTGCATGAGATTAACATAGTGCAAATACCCTATATATTATGGTTCAAAAGCAAGAGGGACAACTGACATATAATAAGATTTATGTATGTGTAAAGTTAATTTTAAGACTTGATATTAATGACCGCTACAGCTGATAAGTCCTATCCATAAGGCTATGTGAGCCTCCTGTTCCGCTTCTGTGCACATCCACATACCCGACCCCGTATCTCTTCCCTCACACATGTAGTTATGGTTCTGCCTTGCTAGTTATGGAACACAACAAAATAACAAAGCAAAAAGGAATGTCTATGACCTTGTTCAAAAGGTAATTTGGCAGGCATTTGCCTCACTAGCCAAGCACACCTGACTACAAGATGAACATGACACTAGGCATTGCATGACTTCACACTGACAAGAACATTGCAGGCAGAGCAATCACAATAGCCCGATGGAGTCTGAAACAACAAATTAACTCACCATTTCAGTGGGTGTGAGAATGTGAACTGCTGTGTGTGTAGGAGTGTAAGTGAGTTTGTACTGTTTGATTTTTCATTGTGCTTAACATTTGAAGGACTAGGAGAGCATTGACTGCAAATAGGCAATCTTGATATCATATCTTGGTTTATCGCTACCTCATATGGGCAATAGGTTAAATAACTTGTCTCTTATTATATGTATGTAAAATCACTTAAATGATTTTGCTGCAAAAGTTAAGTACATTGATTTTTATATTTTGGATAATTCTGTTGGAATACATTTCTAATTTATTGCTAAAGAATAATACAGGCAAACTTATAAATAGTTAGATCAACTAAAATCAACTAACGTAAGAAAAATAAAAACTTTTGATCATACATTATTATGTGTTCTGATAGCGTAATAAAAGTAAAAAAATTAGACTGATTTAAGATTCGAGTGTTACATTTAGACTACAGCATGTACCAAAAATTAAATCACTTCCCTTGAAGAAAACCCCTAGTTCCTGTACAACTAATGTGAGTCAACACTGCCATCTGCTGTTCTTTTTGTTTAATGACAGCAGCTAAAAAATGTGTGCTTTTGTAAGTAGATTTATTCTCTTCTTTCAAAAATGTACCTTTGAACATTTAACCATATATACTTGCATACATTTATATTTACATTTCATGCCGCAAGTTTTTTTTGTCACTTATGAACATGTACTATATAAAGCAATGCACATAGTCACAGTTATTGCTATTAAAGGAAAACCAACAATAGGAAAAACAAATACATATTGCTAATCATCTTCTAAAAATACTAGTTGCCTGGTTTTATCTATCCACGTACACACCACCTCATCTATGCCCATAGCCCTCAGCTTGTGTAGCAAGCGTTTGTGTGGTAAACTGTTTTTTTGTCTTCAGTATTCATTGAGTATGCAGATGAGAAGTTCTGGCTTCACTTGCTGCAAACTAGCTCCGGGTTATTGACTAAGCACAGAAACCATAGGATGAACATTAATGTTAGGCACCTATAATTTTCAGGATAGGCCAGTAATGGCAATCCACTAATATATTTTGTTTTTGATAGGTTTCCTTTCATTGTTATGATTAATTACCACAATACAGTTCTTGCCAATCATTTACCATGCATCTAAAAACAAAGGCATGATCAGCTAATTTATTATGCCTTGTGTCTAGGGAAGAGGAGCTGACCTTTCAGTGAGGGCCAAGAGGCCAGGCTCTTATACAGCCCCCTCTGAACTCACTGTGGTAAAAAGTGCTCCTGTGAAAGATTTCCAGCTTCTTGCATATTGATATGTGCAGAGCTTATAGCAGCTCCGTCTATTGTTATTCTTATTGATATACGAAGAAAAGGTAGAGGAATAATAGAGACAAGCAGTATGGTAATGGTGGTTAACCCATGTAGATGGAAAAGTGGAAAGTCCATAAAAACAAGAGCTTATGGCAGCAAAATCTCAAACTTCTTTAATATTTCCCTTTTTGTAACATATTATCATTTTTTGCTCTCATGTGAATATGAAACTACAAAGCATTAATACATTATTGTTTAATTTCATGTAGAGAACATAAACTTATAGATCCACTGTTCTAAGAGATGAAAATTAAACTTACATCTTTTCCTGGCTGACCGGGAGGGCCTATAAGTCCTGATGGACCTGGTGGTCCCTATAATTACAGAAACACATCATAGTGAATACAAACAGGTATAAGCCCAAACATAAACATCAAGTCCTGGTTCCCTGGCTAGGGCACCAATATGCAATGTGTGCACATTATAGGCAACCAAGCACCACAATTATAAAATAAACTTTGAAATACAAACAGGAAGCACAGTCAATTGGTCCATTTTTCATCTAGACATTTTTGTGGTGCACCAGTTCCCCCACTCCCTTTTGCCAATATCCTGGTGATTTATGAAAAAACTGCTGGGGATGCAAGTGATCTGCTCCCAAATGCACCTTCTGCAGGCTTCTATGTGTCTTTCCCATACAGAAAGCCATGTAAAAATAAGTTTCTCCCAGATTCAAAGCACTGGAAGGGTGATTGTGATTGGTGATACAGGAAGTAGAGTGAGGAACTTACACAGCAGATGGTATATAACAGCAAACCCATTACTGTATATACAAAATACATTCCGAGTGAACTGGCTTGCAGGCCTTAATGTATATAGCCTTAGAGGACCTTAAAATGTAAAGGTCTTAAAGTATATAACCTTAGCGGGGATATTATTAAAAACTTTCTGATTTTGGAACAATTGCAAATTTTGCTGGGTAGTATTGGCAGCTCACTGATTGCTTATGTTTGTTGTCTGGAACTGTTCTATAATGTCAAAATGGCTATGAGAAGCAGTTTTCAATAAGACCAGAATTTTGTGTAAATACTTTTCAGTTTTTCTTTATTGTTTCGCACTGTTTGAATGGCCTTACATACAGTGGGAAAACATTTTTCTTCCCACTGTATGCAAGGGAAAAACCTTACATACAGACCTGGTATGACAGCTGGCTGCTCCTTTTAAGCCCCAGCAGAATGTCAAACTGTCAGCTTTATTTAATGAGGTAACTCAGAGTGCTATATATACGTGCAAATTCCTGTAACCCATAGCCAGCAATAATATTTCTTTTACTGTAGTCACACAAAGAAACATATGATTGAATCTGTGAAAGCTGTCTCCTTGGCTGATATAATTAAAGCGATACCCTGCTGTTTCCCTTTGTACATACTGTATTAAAAAGACAAGTTTTATTTATGAAGACTGTAACAAAATGAAATGTTTTGTTGCCTGAAAATGTTTTATTCTCTTACATGCACTAGCTGAAATCTATTTGTTGTACTTGGCAGTCTTCATATATAACTCTCTTTTCATTGTTTACTATATTTAAGACATCAGTTTATCTCTCTGTACTTCCTCTATGAATAACTCTGTACTGACTGCACAAATGTGTATAAGAGTTATATTTATTAGGACAGCTATCATTAATATTATTTCTCTGTACACAATGTACATATAAAACATTTACTATGTAATTTATTTTTTTTTTAAATAGCGGACATCGGAGCACGGGACCGGCAGCGGCGACGGGACACAGGTGGTGGGGGGTGGGGGCGCGCACACCCGCAGATCGTGCAAGCAATCGGGCGTCTCTAGAGATGCCTGATCGCTTGTATGTAAACAGCCATCGCTGGCTGTTTACATGCTAACAGTTTTCCCTCTCGTGTGCGGCGCTCAGCGCGCGCACGAGAGGGGGGAGGGGCAGGACGTCTTAAGACGCCCACCCGCTCTGAGCAGACTTCCGTCCGGCCGTTCACAAACGGCCATGGATGGAAGGTGGTTAAACAAAAGTGTAAGTGACTCTGAAAGGCTTTAACCATGAAAGTTGAAAGGTCTAAAACAATGCTGGATGTTTTGCTGTCCAACCTACCCAACAATCTTGTGCAGTAGCTTATTTGGAAAAAAATCATATTGTAGGCAGTGACAACCTTGCCTCTGCAATTTAGGGAAGCTATTGCATAGGTGCTTATCATTGGAGAGGCGAGCTGGCTAAAAAAAAAAAAAAAAAAAACCTGCCTTGGGTGCTCACACTGAGGGAGGGGGGATATATAATAAGAGCTGAATGTCTTTTCAGAGTCCATTTAACCTATGGCTTTTAGGTAAGCACCCCTTCTTCCCTTTTTTCTGTAGCTCAAGCAGGTACCCTTAAAACAGCATAATTAAAAAAGCATAACAATGAAAATAATCACATGGCTAAAGATATCACTTGTTATGACCAAAAACAAATATGTTGAGCCTTTGGTTCTCATATTACTGAGACTTATAGCCACTCTGCAAGAACAGTGGTGTAATAGGTAAGAATTATCAAGGTTTAAAATAGTTACTTACAGGTGGTCCAGACTGTCCAGATTCGCCAGGGGGTCCTTGATAACCATGAGGTCCCTAAATCAAATTGGCATTTTAATGCAAAATTATATCACTTTTTCCATAAACATTTGTCCTATTGTCAATATTTCTTAAATGCAGCTGTAAATAAGCATGCCCAGAGTGTCAAACACAGTAATTACAATATATTCCAGTTCATTCATTGTCTTTTTTTTGTGTGTAAAGGTGGATACAGACAGTAGATACTCATTACTTGATCAATTCTATTTTGGCTAGGCTGGGTATTGATCCTCAAGTGAAACAGCATAGGTAACAGCAGACTGGATAAGCTATGTAGCTAAAAAAAAATTATTGGTTGGTTTGGATCTTTTTTGACCAACTGCTGTTGTTTCCCTGGAATGCAATTGACACCAGACATGTCTGCGGACTTCTCACTACCTGCATGCACATTTACATGCATGATTGGCCAGTCTGATTTATTTAGCTATATAACAATGATATAATTGTAAACAGTGGCGTCACAAGGGGGGTGCGCCCCGCACTCGGGTGACACCATTGGAGGGGTGACACCAAAATGACTCACAGTCATTTTGGCGTCACCCCCCTCTGAAAAGTCGGGCGCTCGGTCACGGACCGAACGCCTGGCAGTATCAGGAGGGGACCCGGCGGCATACCTTTTCCCGCCGGGTGACTGTCCCCTCCTCTCTCTGCCGGCATCCATCACCAAGATGGCCGCCGGCAGGTATCAGAATACTGCCGCGCGTGCGTGATGACGTCAGCGCACACGCGTGTGGTGACATCACGCGCATGCGCTGTGACGTCTCGGCGGGGTGACACTCGGTTGGCAAATCAAGATTTGGCATTCTTAGTAATGTCTTGAAACCCAAGATTCACTTATCTCTAATCCGTGGATTTGGGATTCTAATGCATGAGCTTTGAGCATGGCCGATTTTTTAAATATAGGAATGTCTTTTTCTAAGCATTTTTCATTTTTTAGGTGGATTGTTTGTTTTCATAATTATGGAGCTATAGCTTATCATTTGTAAGGGCAGTATTTGTATTTTTTATGCTTGCCAATGTAACCTGACTTTATTTTAAATACCCTTTTCACTTGTTTTCATTACTAAAGGTGCCTGCACATTTGCTAGGCTGACCACATTTAGATAAGATTGCTGGTTCTGTATTTTTTCCATACTCTAATAGAGCAAATGTAATTATCACTGTCTATGTACCAACTAGGAAAACTTCTCCCACATCTTACTTTGTTTGACACCTAAATAGATATCTCCCAAATATGGACCCATTTTAATGTTAGTCATATTTAACGGTAATGCTTATTTGCTTGTTATTTGCTTGTTATTTTTAATATATTATGTTTTTTTCATATTGAATTCAGTTATATATTATCTTAACTGTTTGAAATGCAATGCACCAGCTAGCTACTGAACAACTTAGTAAAAAATTAAGATTACATTCTAATGGAAAAAGCAGTCATTATACTTACAGTCTGTCCAGCAGGGCCAGATGGTCCAGGAGGGCCAGGAGGTCCAGGATGACCCTACATAGTAAAAGAGAAGGAACATATTACACTAATTGGAGTTTTTGACCATCAAATCTTAGAAACAGCTCTATAACTAGGATCCTGAATTGCTTGACAATGAAGCACAAACTGTTATGTTGTGTATAATTGTATATATCCTTGTTTAAGGTTTGAAGCACTTTATGTATAATTAATCTTAAATTGGTTAAATAATTTGCACTTTAACCTCCCTGGGGGTATGATTCTTTTCTGTTTCGTTTCTTTTCCGGGTCGATTTTTTTCGCAATTTTTTTTCCTCTTAGATACTGGACTTTAAAACATACTAGTTGGAGCCACCAACAGCAGTCTTGCTAGCTAAGGGAGTGGCTCGTGTGGCCTACACAAATCTTAGTGCTTGTTTAGTTTTCAAAAAGAAGAGATACTGATTACAGACTACAATTCTACATAAATTATTATGGGTATTTCCTAAATGCTATATAAGTACAAATCATATAGATTCTAATGAAATAGAGAAATAAGCAGTGCCCCTTTAAGACTGGTTTATTGAATGCATTTATATAAAATATACCATAGTATATTACTACTAAAACCAGGGCCACATTGTACACCCCAACTAGGGAAGAACTCTGCTAATATCACTATATGACACTGTAATCCATGCAGATGCATGGAGTATACAGTGATTTATGTGTAAGGTGTGTATGCGGCCAGATTGGAAAGTTGAGACATGTCATAGCTCCTATAAACCCTCTATGAACCTTTAAAGTTACTCACAAGATAGACTTCATCATATTTTGTGAGTCAGCAGAAATCAAACGTGTTGAAAATGTCTTCCATTTTATGAAATCACCCGGGGTGTGATATTTTGTTCTGTAACATCTGCATTCAAAAATCTTGTATGGCCAAGCCTTTAGGTATAGACAGTGGCAGAGCTCCTAGAGTGATAGTATGCATATGTATCAACATTTCTAAAAATGTTTTTAATCTAAATATTATAGTTTAAACAGTTCAAGCTTTTTTAGTGAAATTATGTTCCATTTATTTAATCGAATAAATAACAAAAGTGTTTGGGAATAAACTCAACCTTGTCCTTATTTGATGAAGAATGTAAATATGAAAGCTTTCTGCATGTTCTTTGTACTTTAATGAAAAGTTTTTTACAAACATTATCCATAAACATATGCCATTGGTAAATTACCACTCTGAAAGCTCACCAAAAGGACACACTTTATTTAGTCCAACCATCTTATGAAAATTCCTTGCCAGAACTTAAGCTTAATCCTTTTAATGTCTGCAGATAAATTAGCTCCTTTGAAGCACAGTCTAAGTAATAAATTATTCTGCAGATAAAAAATTTACTTTCCTGTGTCTTTTTATAGTACATAGATATTTCCTAATGTAGCCATGTTTTTCATAGCACATATGCAAGTTCAACATATGCCTGTTGTTCATATTTACTTAGTGGATCAAGTCTGACTTTTGAGATAAAAATCAGATGTTTCTATAAAGTTTGAAATCATAACTCCTTATTTCAGCCTTTGGGAATCACTGTGCACAAAACCATTTCATTTTTAAATCTCTCAAAGACACCCAATGATAAGATATGTACTCGAGTTTTTAGCCTGCAAACAGGTTGTGGCCATGTACAGAATGTCATCATGGAGAACACAAAAACACCTTATGGTATATGTGAAGAAACAGGTCTGTAGCACAGCACTAAGGCAAAAATATCTCACTGCCAAGTCACCAAAATCACCTTGTCAGTTTTTAGGTGAGCTGTCTGTTTAAAGAACATCTTTCATTATACCCTACTTTACCTTGAAAAATGTATACTGTGTATATATATATACTATATATA